CCCCAAAACCCCAAAACCCCAAAACCCCAAAACCCCAAAACCCCTTAATAAAACATATCGATTGGGCTGTTAATAATATATTTATAAATTAGGCATGGAACTTTTAGAGCAGAAAGTCATCCAAATAAGAGGGTAAATTCAAGACTTAGCTTCGGATTATGCTGAACAAATAGAACCTTTCCTTTGCCCTTGTTCTATGTTGTCAGTGATTGAATCCTCATTCGTCCAATGTCGTTTGCTCTTTGCCTTCGTGTTTTGAAATAATATGTGAGAAATTTACCTAAATTTAGTTGTCTCTTCTTAAGATATCATTCTGTGTTGTGTAGTATTTAGACACCATAAGGAGCATTTTTATAGACTTATGAGTAAATCTTAGAAGATCTTCAACTTATTAATTAAAAAAAGATACAGAGTTAGTTAGGTTTGGCATTTTTTTTCTACCAATACAACTATATGGTTAAATCTTTGTTGTTATATAGCCACAAACGTAGTTTAAAATTTCTACGCCTGAAAATAGAGGTTAAGACGCTTATTAATTCTAAGGCATCAGTGATTATCATTAGCTTTACAGACATCCTTCCTGATGTGGTTCAATATAGCCAAGAGAAATCAATTCTGAAGGAGGAAAAAACCATCGAGGGGCAACTTATAAACTCTATTTATTTCAATCAGTTATCAGAAAAGAATCTAATGATGACTCCTGCAGGGAGGCAAAACTAAAATTTGAGTTAGATATCAAACATAAAGGATATTTAAATTTTACGAAAAAACTTGAATTATTGAGATATATTGAAGTGGATAAATTCTATTTAGGTAATATTGAAGGTAGAGATAAGCATATTATCAACTACTTTACCTCAAAGTTCCCAAAATCTGCTAATGATGTGATACTATATTCATCAAGAGAGATCCCTTTAAACATCGCTCCTCATCTGGAAGGAATCATTAGAATTAGCTCTAGAGTTTTGACAGAGATGGATATATTTGGCTTAAAATTAAATGTTTCTCAATTAAAGAGATTCATAATATCTTATGTTCATCTCGAGAAAGTAGGGTTTAGCTTTTGTGCACTTTCAATGCCTGTTGTCCTGAACTTTGCAGAATTACTCAAAAATACAAATATCAAAGTTATATCTCTGAATGGTTCAGGAGATGTCAAGTGCAGTAATTGGAAGAAAATTTTAACGAGTTTACTAATCTAATCCAAGGACTGGCTACTTCTCCAGATTTGAAGAAACAACTAGAGACAACCAGCATTTCTTGGTGTATGATTGAACCACATAAAGCAAGGGAACTTTTATATCAGAAGAGATTTGAAAACGCTGATATACAATGCCTAAGTACTTATTGCTCAGAATAATTTCAGTTGCTCACTCAAATGAGATTTGTCAAATCGGTAACTACCAATTTTCCCTGAAGCCCCTCATTTTTATATTGTTTCAATGCACTCAATATAATTGGGGTTTTGGGGTTTTGGGGTTTTGGGGTTTTGGGG